ACGATGAAGATGACTGGATGATTGGTATGATTTCCTGTAGATGATTCGATTTCTATACATTAAGAAAATCTTATTTTCAAGTCAAATAAATGTTTTATTTCACTCATTTGTCACAGGATACACATGGAATAGAAGCAAACGGTGAACTTGACAAGAGGATCATCACGAACCATCCTGAAAAGTTGTGGCCCAAGTGCGTCATCCAGTACACGTTCGGTAGTTTAAGTAAGTTATAGTTTGTTCTGGTCTTCTTTAACTTACAAATCAATTTTATAAGGATATATTCTTTACGATTAGATTTGGTTCAGAAGAAAATGATAATTTAACATTCTACCACATACTGAAACAATATCAACTGTTGAACACTATTTGTAACAACGCACGTGATTGGTAAATTAATCAACAGCAATATTAAGTTATATAAGCATATTTGCATTAACCTGAAAAAGTAACAGGCCTGGCATCTGTTTGGAATGACCATCGTACCATGTATATTTAATATATAGTGGGAATTTCATTGCATGTCTATCTTTTTTTAATAGATATCTTCGAAAGCATTGAAAACGATGGAAACCGTTATTCATTAAAACTAACATCAACTTTTTTTTATTAACTACCACATATAGTGACGTCATATATTTTATCATTTCTACAGCACAACCACAGATCGAGTCAATTATACAAGCTTCCCAGATATACGAGACGTATACAGGTTTCCGGTTCTACGAATGGCACGAGAACATAGCCGAGGAACGGGACCTAGGGCATAACTATTTATAATTCATCAGTAATGGAGGGTATATGGCCTTGGTTTATATTAATTAATAAGATTGAAATAGACACTATGATAAATAGACATACACAGGTACCCTGCAATAACATCACTCATGAGAATCCATTCAGATTTTAATTTGTATCGCTATTGTTGTAAGGTCAACAGAGGTTTTAGGTTGTAATTTTTATATTTCTAGGTATCATTCTTGATATAAACGACAACTTGTTGAAACTATAGTAAAGTACTTACGTTTAAATGGAAATCTTGATCAGGTGAGAAGAGAGAGAGGAGTGGGGTGGCAGGAATAAGTTATATTGGATAAATACATCGACATGTAACTTCAGAGAGTGTATGGATTATGTAGTTTTATTAACCTTATTCATGTTTATCTGTAAGAACAGTAAAATAATGATGTATTTTTCCATTAGATGTTCATCTGTGGTTGGAATGGCAAATAACAACAAAGGTCAGAAGATATCGTGTTGTGGAGCGGTACGTATAATCATCTATCAGAATTCATGTTATTGATATCACACACAAAAAACCGTAGTCAAAAATATCTTAAATAACAAGAGAACACATTGAGGCGACAGTAAGTGATACAGGATACAATTCTTTGTCTACATTGTAATTCACGTGGTTTAACGTCCTCTAGGTTGTGTGAGAAACACATCATAAATGATTTCTATGTAATTATGTCTTTCCTACCTGATTACTTTGTTATGATTGTAATCTCTCCATTATTTCTTGGTGTTATATGTATGTAAATAAAAATAAATAAATAGAGATAAAAATAAAAAACTTTGTTTAATAAACCACATTTAAACTGAAAATCACTTAGGATCCGCTCTTTCTTTATATATATATATAAGATCTGGTTGTATGTATCGTGATATCTACCTGTAATCACATCATATACACAATGTTATCTCACGTTTTACATATACGGGTAGTGGGTAATGCTTGTAATACTTCTTATATCATTTCAGGGCATTTGTGTGCATGAGCTTGGATACGCTTTTGGTTTCATCCATGAACAGATGAATCCTCTACGTGATACGGGTGAATTATGACAATATCAATCGCAGTACGTATGGTGGGAATAGGGGACGTTGATTCTGTACTTACTTAGGAATACGCCATTGTTGATTTCTGGTTTATACATAATGAATGTTGAAATTAAATATAATTCTACGATTACTTTCATGTTCATTCGCGTCCTGCTCATAATTACAGTGATAAAAATAGTTTTTCATGTCCAGAATGATGTCATCAGTCCAAACTTGTTATCGCACTACCATTTCTGTAAACATTCATTTCAAGCTGTGAAATTTAATAAAATTTGCAGGAAGACATGATACAAAAATGATAATATTAATACATTTTTAGGCATTCTGCAGCCTTTCCTTCTAAAAATCAATACCAATCGTTTACATTTCTATATCGATAATAATGGTGCAATTAAATAGAATAGAAATTCTTATAACACAACCAGTAGAAGATTCGAATGTGACTACACGGTCACCTTCAGCAGACAAACGGCCGGTGTGGAGCGTACAAGCACTGATGTACGTAGTGTACGAGATGGTACGAAATCGACCAACTTTTCGGCTGTGCTATAATCCTATGTACACTAAGGTCGAAAATAGTGTGACGAGATGGTAAACAGATTATAGACTATACGATACCAGATGGTAACAATGAACTATAGTCAATTCGGCTACGCTTTGTTGACCACTTTGTCATAGGTGTGTGTTATTAATGTTTGGTATTTTTAGAATATTGCTTTATTTGACCATTTTAATGACGACATATATTATCATTTCCTTTATTTGCTTTATTAGATCACCACTTTACGTATGCTAAGAAGGATTCCGACATTGTTGAGTCGTTTCCATGGAAATAAGACTTGTCGTCAGTAATGCATTACGGACTAAGTGTAAGGGTTTCTCCGTTCATCAGTATGACTGATAGTCTCCAAGTTCTCGTTAGGTACTGTGACATTACTTTACTTGGATTGACATATACTTTCAAAATGGATGCCGGTTTAACGAAGACGGCGACGCTTACCATTCCGGAACAATTGATCACATTCTGTTTGTTCATTTTCGGGAATACGTAAATCTTTCATTTGTTCACATTACGCCCTCGTTCCATTAATTAAAGTTTGAGATTCTGTTAATAGGTACACATATCTCATTGTGTCTTCTGTCAATATGGCTTTGGGTGGTTGACCTAGATGTCCTTATAATTTATCAGCAAATATGTGAATGTGAACACAACAATTGAAAGACCTCCGTAGTCTTCTGGAGTTACGTATATCAAATTTGTTTCATTCTTAAAAGTAATTCATAAAAGACACTTCACACCTGTGAAAGTATTTTATTCACGACACACCACACCTGTACTTTATTGTGATCATAAGAGAATTCCTCGAAAATAGACCAGTACTCGGCCATATCGATTCCAGATTATCTACTACAACGTATTCTGTAAACCACAAGCAGTGAAATGTGGATGTGTAACTCTGATTGATCTTCAGTAAAAAATATTTCATAGATAATAAGTAAAGCATGTTTACACTTGTATTATTAAGAGTAAATCGATCACTCAGTCTTGCTGTTTTAGTTCAAACGATAAGGATTATTCTACCTTTATTATGCAAACATTCATTATAGTATAGAAACATGAAAATAGACATATTGATTTGGCTCTGTTTGTTGAAGTTTATGTATACATTTAGCTATTACTATTAGATAAATATTGATCTGGAACTAAAATATATTGTTATTACTTACAAAAATGTATCGAATATGATAGAATATTTATCAATGACAAAATAAAACAAAAAAACAAATGGCTGTAAAGACTGGGGCCATGTTTCCTGAAACACTACATCATTTAAGTAGAATGTTAATAAAATGCTAAAGCTGATACATGTGTTGGATATGTGGGTAACCCTACCACGCAAAAATTCCCAAATGAACTCAATGGAGATTTTTTAATCAGCTGTGACTTTGTCAATATGTATCTTCCCTTAGGACTTCTCGTCAGGCTCGGGGGCTACGATGACGAAGCGAGATCCTTTGACAACGTATCTTGCCCAGCAGGGCGACAACAAATATTACTATTTAATACGGGATTTCGAGACACTATATAACTGTAAAGGTAAATTGTACACATTATACGTGTGCTTTCATATTTTGGATATTTTGAAGCAATTTTCGAATTTGGCACTGAATGTTTCAGGGCATCTTTTATCCTCTGGTCGTGGTTTCTTTGGTTACAGAAAGGAAATATAACTTTTAAACAATATCCTTAATAAATTATACATTGAATGTAACTGGTACGGATGACCAAACGTCTTCTCGTCCTTATTTACGTGTTTACTATACTGAAATGCATACATTTCATGACATTCGAGCACAGAAAGAATTATTTTCAGTACAACTGCTATTTCTTAGAATAAACTACAAAATATAGATAAGCCCGTTCGAAACTTGTTACTTATTCTTTACCTGCGATGTTTGTACTTTATTCGACAGCTTTGGAATGTCCAGACGATACCCAAGAGTGTCAGTATAAAGGCTACTTTACTTTCCAGGACAACAACTGCTCATACCGATGTATACATGGTCTTGACCCAGAAACGAACTGTGCCACTCTACTCAAACAAGGTAGATCTCTAGCAAATTTCAACCTTTTCTCAGCCTCGCTTTTGACGATTTCCGATTTTTTTTCTAGACTAAGAAGTCATACATTTCTTATCAAAGTGTTCGGATGGCAAAAGAAAACTAAGCTAATGATAACATCTTGGTCACTTGTAATTGGAAGTAAACTACAATGTTTACCATATCTCTGCATGTAGGAGATCCATAGGAGAATTATTAGTTCATCTGTCCTTAAACAATATGCCTTCTGCTGTTCTGTCTAGCTGATGTTTTTTGCTGCTTTTATCAGATTACGCCATCTGAGGTGTATTAGGCTCATGTGTCTGTTATGTAATATAGCCACGATCTTCATTCACAGACCATCGCCTGTACTCAACTGACTGGCCGACTGAACCATTTTCCTTGCTGAAGGTGAAGGACGTATCTTGTCCAACTGGTTCCGAAGAAGGCACTCTAACACATTATGGAGAGTTGTCCCGGACTGCAGACAGACATGATGCAGATGGCACTGTCCATAGAAGCGATACAACAATGAAATTCTGCACATTCGAGGACTCACAACGATATGAAAATACGTTCAACTTCAGCCAAGGACAATATTGTATTAATCGTGTTGGAGGGTCTTGCCCTACAGGTAGGTATTCGATCGTGTGTGATAGTTCTGCCTTTCAAGTGGTTATGAAAGTCCTGTCCTTCAGGTGGAAGGGCTCTGTCCTAGATATCAAGGTCGGTCGGATGGCAGGGTCCTGCTCTAAAGCGCATTTTCAGCCGTACGTTATATAACTGATACAGGCCTAACCTGTTGTACAATCATACTCATGCAACACCATTAATTTAATCAGAGCTTCCTGTTCCATTTATATGATATTGTTTAAAATAAAGAACCTGTTACACTTAAGAGACTTCAACGTGTTTCACGTACATGCGCTCATAGAGGGTAAATAATCGGACTTCAAGCTGCAATCAATTACTTTGTACACAATGTTGAGTGTTTAAAAACGTTGTCTAAGTTATCAAAATAAATAAATAGCAATCGTGTGAAATTTCCTACATTTTTCATATCCAACAATTGTGTAAAAGTTCTTGTGGGTTTTTCAATATTCAATCGGGTGCAACATTGGGTATCCAATAGCATAGCAGCTTTCTAATTCATGATGAATCTTCATTTTTGTCGAAGATTCCTTTCTAAATGGTTTGTATTCTATATATTGGATATTCCTCTCCCTCGGTAGGTGTAAAATCGTTCGGTTGATTTCCATGTAAAGCGAGAACAGTGCTGCTATTTTTGAAATATTGCTTTTCAATCTGCTATGTATTTTTGCATTATTTCAATATTTTTTTTTCTAAAAGGTTTCTCACATGGTTATGTACAGTATGAGGATAATAAAGATCCGATTACTTCTGGATCCGTTCCAGACGCGGAATTCGATGAAAATACACATTTAGAGTTTTGCTGTCGAAATGATGGCAATTTTCGCATACCGATAGAATTACCGTTGAAAGAGAGGTTTATTTTGTGGAGGACAAGTAAAACTAGTTGCCAAGAGGTGAAAGGTAATACTTCATCTTTTTCAATACTGAAAACTGGCTTTTCTTAATGTATCGCAGTCACATTTCAGCACTTTGTAAAAAATAGTGATAGATGCATTGTAACAGCTTCCATTATGTACTTGAAGCAAAACGCAGCAATATCAAATATCTTAGCGCGGAAATTCGGATTGTAAAACAGTAAAACGTGACTTTAAAAAATCTTCATTTTGCTGCGGAATGTCATCTGATTGATCTGTTCGCCAATGGCCAAAGAATTCATGATACAATATATGTAAACTAAAAACAATATACGTTTTCAAAGAGATTACTTTCCTCATTTCTTGGCCGAATTCACACACTCCAGTTGTTGTTTACTGATTCGGGATATCTGTATATAACATTTAGAAATTGTTATAATGATATTACAATATTCCATCTACAGATGCTGTTTCTCTAGGATCACAGTATTTTGGATTTCGGAATCCAAGTCAAAGTTCAACTGCAAGCGTAAAATAACCTATTCCTCTGTCATTTCATGATGATATCACTAACATATGGTTGTACTACTGCGTCTATCAACCAATCACAAAAGGTAATATAAATCTAAATTCTGAAAACCAATAACATAACTTAAAAACAATCAAATTCAACCAAATTATCACAAAATATATAACATGATTAAAACACTACCAACCAATTACGAAGGATATAGCAAAATCCGAACTTTACCCATCAATCAAAAAGCATATATCACAAAATTTGTCTTCCAATTATGATAAAATACAGTTCTGGACATATATTTAACATTTCCAATATTTTACGTCTTCGTTTTTACCTAAAATGTATTTAGTATTTGTCAAGTTTTATATACAGTTAAGTATAAGTGATTTATTTATTTCTCACTTCTCTGATGAGGGTAAACTCCCAACATTCTAAGCCTTACTTAAATTTCGTGATGAAATGCTTCACGCACTTTACACAAATGCTGATGAAAAGGTTGTATCACTATACCCTTCCCTTGATGTAGGTAACTGCGGTGGTATAATCGAGCTGACAGAGGACTCCCCAGAGGCCGTCATCCAATCTCCGAATTATCCGGATCCATATGATGAGTATTCGGAGTTGTAAGGGTAAGTTTCTCCTAAATCGAAAGTAAACTAGAAGAAACCTGCGCTATTGTTGTCCGTACGACGAATTTGCACATCAATGTAGCGAATAAACACTTCTGACTGTGTAAATGTAAATGTCATCATCTCAAGATTAGAAATATAACCCAAGGTTATCGGTTCGTCTTACCGAAATACATGGCCATATATAATCTTAAATGGTTAGTGTTAAGTAAGTTCCTCGTTTATTGTCACCTCACGATGTAAAATAAGATTGATTGTGTCCTTTTTTACCATCCCCTGTATTTACTTAGAGAAAGCAATCGTATATCAGTGATTTAATTGAGCCGGGTGTGTCTGTATAGCATAGTAAAAAATCACACTGCAGAGAGGAGGACCTGATTTATAGTTGTAATTGTAAAGGTGTAGAACATATTGTATGGAGCCGAGTTAGAACCATTATGAAGATATCTCGCACGTGTAACCTTGAAAGCTGTTTTATTGCCAAGGAGTTTGGCAAACATGTGCTACCGTATTTAGACAATGAACGCATGGATACATATATTACCACTGCACCATTTCACTATTTCTAGATATCTATTTTTAAATATACACGATAGGTTGAAACAATTCACTGACGATTAAATAATTAATCAAGGATGCAAATGAAACAACAGTTGTATTGTTTAAGGATTTACAGAGTTGACGCATGAGGTAGTAATATCATGATGAAACATTCACATGTATCGCCACTAGAAAGTGTTCTGTTTATCACACACAATGTATCCCACTAGAAAGAGTTCTGTTTATCACACGCAATGTATCAACACTAGAAAGTGTTCTGTGTATTACAAACAATTTATCAACTCTAGGGAGTGTTCTGTGTATTACACATTTGAAATCATTTCTGGAGGCTGTTCTGTTTATTGTGCACATTAAATCACCACTAGAGGCTTTTCTGTGTATAGTACACAATATACCACCACTAGAGGCTGTTCTGTGTATTGTACACAATATATCACCACTAGTGGCTGTTCTGTGTATTGTACACAATTTATCACCACTAGAGGCTGTTCTGTTTATTGTACACAATATATCACCAATAGAGGCTGTTCTGTTTATTGTACACAATATATCACCACTAGAGGCTGTTCTGTGTATTGTACACAATATATCACCACTAGAGGCTGTTCTGTGTATTGTACACAATATATCACCACTAGAGGCTGTTCCGTGTATTGTACACAATATATCACCACTAGAGGCTGTTCCGTGTATTGTACACAATATATCACCAATAGAGGCTGTTCTGTTTATTGTACACAATATATCACCACTAGAGGCTGTTCCGTGTATTGTACACAATATACCACCACTAGAGGCTGTTCTGTGTATTGTACACAATATATCACCACTAGAGGCTGTTCTGTGTATTGTACACAATATATCACCACTAGAGGCTGTTCCGTGTATTGTACACAATATATCACCACTAGAGGCTGTTCTGTGTATTGTACACAATATATCACCACTAGAGGCTGTTCTGTTTATTGTACACAATATATCACCAATAGATGCTGTTCTGTTTATTGTACACAATATATCACCACTAGAGGCTGTTCCGTGTATTGTACACAATATATCACCACTAGAGGCTGTTCTGTGCATTATGCACAATATATCACCACTAGAGGCTGTTCTGTGTATTGTACACAATATATCACCACTAGAGGCTGTTCTGTGTATTGTACACAATATATCACCACTAGAGGCTGTTCTGTTTATTGTACACAACTTACCACCACTAGAGGCTGTTCTGTGTATTGTATACAACATATCACCACTAGAGGCTGTTCTGTGTATTGTACACAATATATCACCATTAAGGGCTGTGCTACGTATTACACATAATGTGTCACTACTAAAGGCTGTTTTGTATACTACACAATAAATATAGTAACATAGCACTGTCCAGTAGCAGACAACAGAAGATTTGCCACGAGGAACAATGCCATTTTGTTTGAAGACTAAACAAAAATACACCAGAAAGGGCTGTGCTACGTATTACACATAATGTGTCACTACTAAAGGCTGTTTTGTATACTACACAATAAATATAGTAACATAGCACTGTCCAGTAGCAGACAACAGAAGATTTGCCACGAGGAACAATGCCATTTTGTTTGAAGACTAAACAAAAATACACCAGAAAGGCAGCATAAATATATTGGCAAATGAAAAGCCAGCTGATTGCGAAACTTTTTGATTGGATGGATACTGTTTGGTCTGTTGAAATATCGCCTTCTCAGGATGGCAAATCATCGTATTCGCCAAAAACAGATTTTTGTTTGCATAATATTGAATAATTGTATTCAGATATGTACACATTAAGCAATATATAAATCGTAAAGAAATGAAGTGATGAGTAGGGAACTAGATCCATTTTTTATTATTGCGTGTATTATTGGGCTTTTTTCACTTACAGAGCCCTGGCAATACGAAAATTGTACTGGACTTCATTGATTTTGAAATACCAAGTGGCAACACCGCTACCTCATGTGACGAAGATGAACTCGAAATAGTATTCACCTTACCTGGTCAGCCGGATTTGCGGTATGTGTAGGGAATACATTGTATAAAATGTAGATATGCTGAACATGTTTTTATAAAAATATATATTGATACTATCAGAAAAAAATTCTACTCAAACCGATGGAATGTCTTCGTGTTTGTATCATTCTCTTTTTGTAGGAAAGGTTGATTACATACTACTTAGTAATACGCGAAAAAGTAAGAACAAATCATATAAGTATAAAGTCTTGCTGGAAACAAATTAGATTCCTTCATTTCATTTCCATTTTCTGTGTCTGCAATTCTTAAAACATTTACAACCCGAATCACCCTGTACACATCGACAAAATAACAGTGTTCAATTTAACAGTCATTTTTAGAGGAGTAACAGCTGGTGCCACTTGCCCTCAAAGAAGTATAAGATGCCTACGTTTCCGAAACACCTGATCGTATACTTGTAACTTCATAAAATATCCTTATTCCTCATGGAAACAGAGACCAAGTGATTCCGGAGTCTGATAGACTGTTTTGTTGTCACTTCAAATTATAAATGTGATATGTTACCGTAATTTGGTATTTCAGTGTGTGCGGTAGTGACCACAAGGTGTCAACAATTTCCGAAACCAACATTTTATCCTTGATATTACACTCAATGGGACCTGTTAAGTCAGCAAAAAAAGTTTAAAGCCAAGGTGAAAATGTCGACAGAATGTACATGCATTTATAGTTGTGAATATTTTATAAATCTCTCTGATATGTTCTGTTGGTTCGTAAGCTAACTTTGTGATAGTCTTATTCGAGTTCTCCAAGGAACACAAGAAGGTGCATTACACAAATTATCCATCCTCTTATTAAAAACATTTACATGTATGTAACCTAATCTTAAAAACATTAATTAAGTCTGCATATGATTAAGCGGCAATAGATAATAAATATTTCATTCAAAGGAAAAACTTTGCGGCAACGGTATTTTTTCCCTCATTTAAATTTGAGAAAGCTGAGAGCTGGATGTATTAAGATAGTCTTTATTCTCTACGCAACAACTCCTTGATGTTAAAATTACGTTACTCACCTGAATAATTTTCAAAACGATTTATAGTTAGTTATATGGTGGATGTTGTCTATGAAACAGCAGACGCTCATTCTTCTGGCACACCTGGTACTATTCTTCTCGTGCCTTTTCAGGAGTAACCTTGTAAATATTTCTTTTATTCATATTTTGCCTTAGTTTTACTTAAATTGAGTTTGGATTATGATTATGTTCACATGATGGTATTTTCTTGTTGTAATCATTATTAACAAATGCAGACATACCACGCCTAAAATTCAAATACAAATTATCGTTTGATTCATGTACCATTACGTTGTATTCTTCAATTATGTTTCTTCTAGATATGATTTAGATGCTAAATTATCATCAAGATTACTTGGTATTCCTTTATGGAAGATGGCTGACATAACGAGTTAGACCTCCTTGGTTTTAAAATTATCAATTTATCTTTTTTTAAGTGTTGGTTGCACAAATATTCAATGCAGGTTTTGATATGTTGATGAACATTTTCCAGACGATGAGTTGTGAAATAAAACCTCCGATAAAGGTGCAACGTACAGAGGACGTGTGAATTTTGCCCAAGACATGAAGATTTATCTCCCGTGGCGAGACGTCAGTCACTGTCCTCATAATGTTTTTGAATACAGGTAAACCTACATTTTTAGACTCATTTGAAATGTGAATCGTATGTATCAATAAAGATAGATATAACTATCTTTGTTTGTCGGTGGGAATGGTTTAAAGTTTAGTAATGTGTATCAAAATTGCCCTTCTATTCTGTACCTGGAATCTTTGTTTGTTCCATGTAATACCAGTGACTTTTTCGATGGGATGGATGAAAACTTTTGCCGGGCGCCAGGTGCTGGCTTACGTCCATTTTGATACACAGCAGCAGAAGGATGTGTTCCCAACTACTGTGACGTATGCGGTATCGATATGTACTGTAATCAGAAGTTGTTTATGTGTTTCACAATTTAATAGTAGAATCAGCAGTGTTCAAATTCCAAATCTGTAATAGAAAGTCAGTAGTTTTCTATTTTGCTTTTTCGTTGAACATTATGAACGCCAGTCTTCACTCTTATTTATTATACTGAAATACAAAATATTCAAATAAAAATAAGATTTATCATATTTTGTTACCGTAAAGATGAAATTATTAGATAAAAGTCCTTGTGATCGCATGTACAGCATGCCATAAGAATTGATATTTCAGTAGAACATTTTCTTATTGACAGGTTCGTGTAACGACATCCTTCCCGACTGTATGGACAGGTTCTTGGCCAATAACTCCTATTGTCTGGATGATCAACATATAGACTCTGTAGGTACTGTTGGATGCGCGGTAACATGTAATATGTGTAGCAGGCAGATATCGGAGATAGGTAAATGTTCTTCAATTCAATATTGCAACTACTATTTTGCGTTAATTATACAATTATGTTATTTTTAAATATTGTATATTTAGGAATGAGACGAAATATAAATCTAATTAGTACTCATAAAAATATCTAGAAAATCAGTTTGGTACTAATATTATTATCTTTTTGCTGCACATAAGTATAAAAATATAAATAATGAATTATCCTTTTCATAACAGTTTCGAGTTAGATACAGTAAGCCAAACAATTAATTAAACTGCATCACACAGCAGTTGTCGTCCTTCTATGGATATTGCCTGAACCTCAGAGCCTAAGGTGTGACTTTGAAAAATTCGAGGTGATCGAAAGAAATCTCAAATCAGAATGGGGAGATTCCCATAATTCAATAGATTTAGTCACTTTTATATTGCAAAAATTTTTTTTTTAAATGTTTACATTAAAATAAATGCATCATGAAATGTTACAGCGATCACCAGGACGTGTACTCGGCCCATCCTTCCTGCCCATGGCAGTATCCCTGCAACACTAAAGAATGTATATAGTGTCGGGGAATCTGTTCAATCTGTGTGTACTGAAGACCAAAATTATTCAGTCACGCATACGTGTACTACAGCCGGTACATGGAACGGTCCGATGTCGGCATGCCAAGGTATTCAATTGTTTTATTTAGTACCATACGAGTCTAAAAATGAATACATATTGTTTGTTACTTTTAATTAGACATACGTGAGATTGGATATATCTAAACAATAACCATACTTCCTAGCTTTACCAAACTACTATCTTGGCATTAAAACAGTTCAGACATCTTTTTGTGGTCGTTTCGGGATATATTATATAATTTTGATGTTTGAAACATTTCTAGAGCGTCTTGTTAGTATTTTTATATTGAACAATTACAAAACATTCTCTGATTTTAGTAGTAGAGAGTAGAAGATATTTTGTTCCACTGATATATATTTTATATTGAAGGATGCCCTAATGACTGGTCATATCACCATGGTAATTGCTATAAATTCTTCCATGAAACGGCATCTTGGATAGATGCTTCTCAGCATTGTTCTACATTTAACAATGGCACACTGTTTATTACTGAAAATATCGACTTGTGTACGAACTCATGTAAGTAACATTGTTTTATTTTAGAGTTAAGAAATTATGTATTGCTTGATATGGTTATTTAAAAGTTGAAGCTAACAACATTATTCTGTTAATGAAACCGTCACAAAAGGAGCTATTTAAAAATTCATGAAATCAGATGGCTTTTACCTAATGATGTGACTTTGATAAAACATAGCTAATCATTTCATATGTTCATCTGTTCTTATCTTATGTACATCCCGCACGAGATATCGGTATTAATCAGAAAGAAATACCATATTGTCGTAGTTGGCCTTATATAAAATTGTTAAGCCGATACAATTACATACAACAAGATCGTATAATCGAGAATATTTATCAACTTGTATGATTTAATCATTTCACCAGGAAACCTGCTAAAGTCACCGTGTGGTTAGGCCTCGGAGACGCGGAAACAGAGGGAACATTTCAGTGGCAAGATAGAACACCACTAGATACTACAAAGCTTGGAGCTTCCTGGAGGAACGGTATTTTCCCAACGTCTTTTCATGATGATATTTATATTTCTGGAGTGTATTTAGATTTCACTGTATAAGTTATTATATCGCAAACGTTTGAAAACTATTGTAATGGAATAACTTCGATGGGAGGAAGAAATGGAGAGGGGAGGGAGATAAAATTTCATAGAACAATATCTTCATCCATGTGTAACACAACCCCTGTTTCCATAAACAGTGTTATAAGAAACTTGATAGAAAAATGAATATCAATGGGATGTTAAACGGCTTCAGTGGTCTGCTCTCAAGACAATAGACAAAATGTAAAATATGCAACGTAGATATCACCCTTCGTCCATCTCTATAGATACTTAAATTACTAGGCCGAGTCTCTGTACAAGAGGGTTTAGTCTGAACCGCGGCATATTTTCAGTTGAAAATTATTAAGTATACCTGTCACATCATACGTGTGATCAACAAAGGTATGATCAGGTGGACATTGAAGTAAATCGATTTCGATGAAAGATGATACAATGCACGATCGGCTTCTTTCATATAGGCATCTTTGATATAATTGATATCATATGTCGATGTTATAGATTTATTAAAAAGTAGTTTATTTATACTTATTGTTGTAATAATTTGTATTATTATTACTACTTTGATTGACAGGACAACCTGATGACAAAGGGGGCCAAGACTGTGTGAAAGTTAATAAGAGTAAAAAGCTTCTTGATCAAAACTGTGAAACAAAGCTTCGAGTCTACATTTGTCAGACATCATTGAAAGGTATGTCTTTAAACACTAAGAACAATATAATTTTTCATAACTAAATAACCTATCGAATACATCACAGAAGTTACTGTTTCTTTTTAGAGTGATATATTTTAGCAAAACAATATGACTTGATTTCAGTTGTTATTTTAAAAACCTATTCAGATCATGTTAAAAACAACATACTGATATTATATTGGTATGTGAATTTGTAAATTTGAAATCATGTTTAAACAATTGGGTCTCAATAATGATCAGTGATAAGCCTTCGTGCTTTATTATCATTTTTTCTTTTTAATTCTTACATGAAAACTGAGGTTTTCAATGGTGTGGTTATCATTGATCTAGTGCTATATTACCTGCATTGACCTTTTGTTTAGTTATCCCAATGCTGATGACCAAATGGTTTACATTACTGTACCAGGAATCTACCACTTTGACTATTAATTATTATCAATTGTCATTCGGATCTAATATATGAAGAACATCAAAGCAATTCATCAAAATATTGCTGGGAAAACTCTTTACGAAATTGAAATCCTCCGAGTGCTGAAAAAACAGAATTTAAACGTTTCTTGGCAAGAACAGATTGAAAATTAATTGAAGAAAAATACTAGATTTTAGAGGATGATAATTAGGGTCTTAAGGTATTACCGTTTTTGTAACTTTCGATGCCATGGTTTATAAATCGCATTTCATCAACCAACCAGGAATCGATTATTCGATCGGGTGTGAAAAGCTATGGAGAAAATGTATCCGCAATTTCGATAGATCTTTTGATTTTTCTTTGTTTTCTGATGTGTCTCCATTCAGAATGGCGTTCCTAACATGTGTACTGAACACAAGATCTTTGCTGAGTTCTCCTGTAGTCGGACATGTGGTATATGTACTGCTCCAAGTGAATGCGCCTCGAAGTAACACCAATGAGAAAGACTAACAGACAAACTTAAGACTTCGATACTATTTTTTTCCTTAATTATATGTGATATTAAAAAAAATGTCAATAATTTTTAATGTCAACAACGTATGTATTATGTCTAAACATAGTAATTTTTCTACCTTTAAAAGCCTAGTTTACGTACATTATCTCAGGACTTTATTTTACAATGAAGTTTTGGCGTGAAATAGTCGGTTGTTTTGTGTAATATTTTACGTAGATTTCAAGAGGACGAAAAAATCTTTATTTCCTCTGAAGATCATACATTGTACTATTCGACTTTTTTCTCACGTTTTATCACATAATAATCCAATTATGTTATGCTATACGCCGGTGTAGTAACCTCGTACGACACACATACACGAAAATCAGTTGTTAAAATACAGGTGTTATGCTTGACTACAGTCTGTCTTACAGAGACTTTATAAGATGATTTGCCGATGATACATCTAGTAACTTACTTTCAATTTGATATGTGAAACGAGTCAAATATTTTTAACGGCTCGCTAAAATGAAACATTCGTGACGAGTTTTATAAACCACACACTTAACGATGCAAAAACTCTGGTCTCTAATAAACCATATATGTGTCAGCATAAACGATGTAAGCAAGTGACATATGCTGTGTCATGACCGCAGCTGATACGTCACCATTAATCCTCCAAATACTTTAGTAATTCTACTTCTTTCAATTTTACTAATTGTCATCATTCATTCCAAATTCTTGTACTTTCCCTTCTCTAACTTTTCAGCATTTCATATTGCTGTTGATATTTCACACTGCGGCCGTTACCCAGGACAAATTTTAAAAAGGAAATAGATTGATTTTTCCACTTTGTACTTGTTTATCATGTTGAAAGATATTGTACATACCTGTAGTCCGTGAATATGCTTACGTACATAACTTTATATAAGAGTCAAATTCGATAGCCTGTAAATAAAGACAACACTGAGGTTTCATCTGAAATGTTTTATTCCACGTTACTTTATATGAATTTCGCAGAATGTAAAGACAAAGTGTTGAGTGATTTTGAATTGGTTTAACATTTCCGTCTTGACGTGATGATATGAAAAGACATATCATCTACAACTAAAACTATATAGTAATGGCAATATGCTATAATTGATGTTATAAATCAGTTATTTGTGTATAACCTAACCTGGAGGATAATTGGATGGACCGATCGCCTAATTAGCTAAAACAATGTTTAGTATGTGATGTTCTTATTGTATGACCTGAGCAAGAAAACAAGGTATTTTATAAACCTCATTACTCATTTCACCTAAATGCCTATTTCTTTACTGTGACTTAAGGTGGGGGTTATTATATTCAAAAACAAAATTTGATAACAATACAATTATTGTAAAATAGGGTCGTAAAGAAAATAATCATATCAGGAAATAATAGGGACATATCAGTAAATAACATGCATATCGAAAAATATAAGGAAAATGTCAGGAACAAATAGGGACCAACTTACGTTCCCCACCTAGCACAACTTGATGACGTATTGAGGAAACATTATACTAAATGGTCGAGCACAAACCTAGCTAATCAATCTGGAAGACATACATTATTATTTAAACATGAAACCATCATACCTAGCTTTCAAATTTAATGTTCATCTCATGTGTATCATTTGCTCAATCTTTTGAATCATACAAAGAAGTGTGCCGAGAAATGGATGACAGATGAAAAATACACCAACCCGTGGATAGACATAACGTTACATATCATTTGTAATAGTTAATTTTTGTTTTCAGCAAATTTTCAGCATTTACATCTTTATGTGTCTCGAGAGCTCGCAATGCAATAATGTATTATCGCCAAATACACCCTTAAGTAAAATATTAAAATAGAATCGATATGATGCAAGTATACAAAATATAAAAGTTTTGAGTCTAATTACTACCAAAACATCAATCTTTGTTTCTGGATAACCACAAAACAAGCAATGGTATCGTTATATATTTTTTATAATTTGGTGAAAAAGTTATGATGTATCCAGATGCACATTTATTGGACTTTCAAATTAATTATGATTGTTTTAAAGATTGTCAATATAATGCATCAAGTATTATTTTGAAAAGTCTTGGTTTATTTCTTTACCTATTACCTTATTTATATTACCTTGGAACCAATATCTTAGAATACCTATCACAAACGCTTGATTTGAAAGAATAACTAATACTGTTCTATTCATCTAATAATGTGATCTTATATGAGTAAATTTCATGATAGTTTTGAAACCAAACTTTTTATTCTTATTACGTCTGGTGAGAGTGAATGAGTTTTGGAGTAAATTGATGAGAGCATAGTAAATGATGCACAATTCTCTTTATCATATCTTCGAAATATGGAACAATAATGCATGAAAAAAGCTTTATTGCAGACTGATATGAAGTATCACATTACATTACTTTAGCTGTATACTTTGAATGTCATTGTGAAAGAAGTTTATGAAATCATCAATTTTAGCAGTGTATTTATGATCGTTGATTCAATGGGTACACTAAATCCACGGATTCATATGCCCACAAAGTCACAACTAAAAATTGGAATTAGATTTTTGCAATACAGTTATCCATGAAATCAAGTGCCTAAGACATTTTTTCAAAAACCATGAACAGCGAGTCGTACGAAAATATATCATCATATGATATGGTTGATATGACTATGATGAGGTGATGCTTTAATCCATGATGCTTTCCATAGTTTAATTGTATGGCAGGTATGCTATCCTTTGTGTTCAATTAAATTTGTATCTGTCTTCTCAAAGCGTTTTCATCATATTTTTTATGCCATGCTCTCTCGTTTTTCTTTCTGCATTTCTGTTTCACTTAACTAAGAAGAATGTATACAAACAATTACAAATATGGTACACATTAATTTAGATCGATCTTCTAAGTTACGTGTTGATAAAAGCACTTTTGAATACATCCAGTTAGAATTACTTGATTTCCCTTTGCCTCGGATCCTTTTGGCTGACTTGTAACAAGGGAAATGTCGACCTGTTCTTAAATTAAATTAGGATAGGCAAATGTGTTTATCTAAAATTCTATTTTCATGTTCTCCTTATGCTCCTGGTTTCGCTGTCAGTTTGGCGAGTTCATTGTTAAACACAATATCCTTGGCTTTTGCCTGCACTGTTCCTCGCATACGGTTAAGCAACTCTCTTCGTTCCTTTTCAATGATGGCTTTCCGTTTATCACACACCTGCTGAATCTGCGTATATATATCAAATTTCTTATCAAAACTGGAAGTATCACTACACTGATTCATTATAAAGACGTATTTTTAATTTCAGGACAATATCAATTATTTCATTTTACTAGAGATAAATGTTATTAGTAAAAAGTACAATATGCGTGATATCTAAGTTTACGATAATGCGTTTGTTATCTAAATAATACGTAATTTGAATCTATGAGCTGTGTTCATTTGATAGCATTTTGTTGAAATTGTTTCTATTTATATTATATATCATTACTACAGGTACTTCAATTTACCCATTTATGGAAGGCGGCGACATTTGTGCTTGACTCTCTGATATCCTTATAGGAGTATTTCTCCAGGATGGTATCCACCGTCTTTAGCAGACTTGGATCTAGAGACCCTACCCGCAGATTATCTATCCGGTTGAGAAAACTGTCCGCGCCCTTCTTGTGAAGATGTGGTAATATCTTATCCCATGTCTGTAACAGAGACAACATATTAATACATAAAACGAGACATAATCGGAGAAGTAATTGGTGAATTGTAAATGAAATATTGCAGAATCCTTTTGTCTGTATGACACAAACCAAATGGTAATTTTTAATGGTATAAAATTTTCGCGATTTTCTAATTAAACCGTCCATATCTATAGTAACGAATGAAAATTTTTGCGATCTTGATGTAAACGAACATTTTATACATACGTGTCTCACATTATTTCTTGCCCAATATTTGAGCCATCAAACATTATTTGTCAATACACAAAGAGGATGCCGGTTTTCATTGGTACATGGACTACATTGCAATATACCTGAATAGGCAATTTAATGTATGATTTAAACACATGGTAAGAAAACTAATAATATTGGTTTACCTGTATTATTGTAATCATTACTGTCATATCTTACCTCTATCGTACTTTCATCCTCTCCAAGAAGTATACACACTACTCGCATCACGTCTACTACAATAGGTTTTGGTCGGATAAATGTTTTCATTTCCGCCAGGATGTCCCTGTCCAACTTCCTTATATGAAAGTTATATCCGTCAAGTTTGTTAAGGTTGGACAGAGTATTTTCTGCTTCCGTAATTTCATTCCGTAGTTCCGGGGCGTAATCCGACGCTTTGCCCTTTGCGAGCACAACCTTAATTGTATCGGCATGGCGTCGTCTTGTTACAACACGCAGTTCTGCAATGCAGAATGAATTATTATCAAATCAAATAAAAACAATTATGGCGGTGTTTGAGCTATGATTATCACTTAACTTATTGATTCTAAATTGATAAAAAGTCATTACACGAGACCACAAGCCTGACAAACGATTTAGGATAAGTGATGTATAACGAAACAACGTTTCTTGTGGCTTTTTAAAAGTTGTTAAAGTTGTAGTGATGAACCAAGCCATTGTAGTACAGATGAAGTCCACGCTTGTGTTAAGTTTTGGTGTATTCTTTTGTGATGTAGTTCTAGGGACTGAACCTCACGGTCCAGCCCCTCCTGGGTGACTGTTGAGTAGACAACCCCAAGTATCGACTGAAAGTGACCAAGCTCTCTGCTGTATTTATACCACGGTCCTATATTATTCAACATCTTGACAGATAAAGACAAGTGACCAGAAGAATTACTTAATGGTATTAAACTCTACATGACCGGTATTAAACTCCACATGACCAACACGCATATCTATCATGTCTGAATATATAAACACAGGTGTTGACGTTTGAAGGGTATTTTGACCACAGGGTTTATGTAACAATATGATGTAATATTTAAAGGTCCATACAATACTCAAAGGTCAGCTGAACTCTATAATAATTTAAAGGTCAGTTCAAGATTAATTCTTATAATGGTTCAGATGAAACATTCTTTTTTGCTCATCATGATTCTCAATGTGTGTATGTCAATATGCATTCCACTTATAATGTGTCTTATTGGAATTGATGTTTTCTTGACCACTTGATAATTCTTTAATGACAGAAATATCGCTTTGTTATCGCTTTGATATCACATTAAGAATACTACACATATTTTGATAAACATTTTAACCAAAACATATCTTAGAGATATTACCTTTTTGGAGTGCAAAGAACTCCAGCCTTTTCTTGGCAAGTTTTAGTTCTCCCTCGTCAGGAATGAGATGCAGCTCGAAATTACTTACTGCTTTCTCGATTTCTGTCTCATTGCCATAGAGAATTGCTTTTTGAAGACGTTCCCGTAACATCCTCTTCGAATATTTCTATACCAAGGATACACAAGTGAATAGAGTAATATAATCAGATACAATAAAGCTTAATAATGAATTAAACTACATCATACAGCTGTTTTGCCCTTCAAGGATATACAACGGGCGTCTGTGTTAATCCGAGAAAGAAATTAAGATGAGGAGGTGCTCAAACTTCTCTATTACAATCATTTAGGTTGGCTATTATTGATACGGATACGAACCTCTTCCGTTTTTATTAGATCACAGGAATTCATATAAACAACGGTTTATTGCTGGCTCGTCCATCTGTTAAACCAAGCCTTTGTCCAAACTACTAACCACCATTCTGATACTATCAAATCTGTACTGAAGCGTATTTCGTAAAAAAAATTACGTCTTAATCAAAAACGAAATATACTGAGGACGAAATCATCAATATGATAGAATTCTGGTTGACAACATCTTCTTCAGATGTATTGATGACGTCTTGTCTTTAAATAACAAGAAATTTATTGACCATGTCTATCGTATATATCCATCAAAATCAGAAATCAAAGACTCTTCTACATCAGCTGCTAATCACGATCTTTATACCGACAACGAAACATTGACAGCTTTCCACCATGCTGTATGATAACCGTGGTGATTTTTATTTCTCTATCGTGAATTGTCCATTAAATGTCACAGTTGATTCGATATTCAAGGGGCTGTTCCCATAATTTTAATTTTCGAGCAAGAAGTCGTCATCTGACGGACAAACTCCTCGTAACAAAAGATTTAATGAAAATTATGGGAAAGTTGTATGGTCGCCACTGTGATCTCATTGAGAATATTTCCTTCTTTGTGTGATATGAATCTGGAGGTGTTTGATGCCTGTTGTTTCCGTTGTTGTATGCCTCATTTGAGAGCGTGACATTATTTACTTGGATTGACCAGGGTTTACATGGCGGGTATCGTCGATAAAGCAGTAAACGCTTCCTCATCCGTGTAAAATTTTTTTCCCCATATATTGTCCTAGTTTTATGGATTTTCAGTTTGGATTATGATTATGTTGCCATGTTGGTATTTTCTTTATGTTTTTCTTTACTCAAATGATTTTGTAATTTGCATATGTACCTGACCAGTTTTTAATAAAAAAAAAGGTCAAGTAAAGTTATTCTGAACCGTGCCACTTTTAAGAACATGGCATACAGATACTAGCAAATCTCGGGGATCAAAACTTCAGTAGTATGAATATAATGCTGTGATCGTTAATCATTACTTTTATATCTAATAAATGTTTACTTTCCAAGCCTCATTGAGGAGATGAAATCTAAAATTGTGCTTTTTTGTTTAAAAAAAAACACTTGAAAAGTACCATCCTCGTCGAAATTTGCCTATTCTACATGGATATCATATGAAAACGTTATGCTTGTTTTCTCTTAGATTTGAATTAACGATTTGGTTTACAATTAATATCGATAGTTATATGGCCAAGATAATGTAACACTCGAAAGAGTGTTATATTGGCGCGTATGTGTCAAGGTTGCATTCATGTACAGATATATTAGTGATATGGTATAGTAATCCGTCAACTTTCTCTTGGTCGGTCGCAATTGTGATCTTCTGTTATGGCAATGATGATGGTAAAAAATCTCCCGACGTCTATATAATTATTATCGCAGTCGTATTTCATTTTTTTCTCTTCAAAGATGGAAATGAAATAATGAGTCAAAATATCGCCGTGTGAGGCTTTACTGCGTCTTATTTGCAATGAGACTGGCACCTTAGTAAATATTCACAGTAATGTTTATCACTTGTCATCCCCTTTAAAGTCGGCCTAATAGGTGTATATAGAACAAGAAGAAAATACAAACTTGCAAACAGAATCATAATCACACTCAAACCGAAAAAGTAGCGCAAAATATGAACGAAACATAGATTCACACCGAGACTTCTGAATAGACACAAGGAAAACAAGAGCATCAATTTTATTCAACCTCATATAGCATATTTTTTCATCAATCTATATCTCGCGAATCTATATGTTATGAGTCAGTTGTCAATATCTTTCAAGAAAATCGTGATATTGGGAAAAGGGAATAGGCCCTTGGGTATCGAATAAACTGCGACATGTTAACAACATCGGCTGGTAATGCAGGGTAGGTTGCCGTCCAGAAACGGTACATTCATGAAAGGAACATTAATTCCATCACGATCATTATAGAGCTTGGCGGAAAGCTATCCATGTTGATTTCGCTTTAGGAAAAGATCGAGATAAGCGGAAGATGTAGAAGAGTAAGTGATATCCTCTATCTCCAATTCTGATATATAAGGCGGACGTGTTCAGTAAAATTCTCTCGTT